CTTTACACCCATGAAAGTATAAAATAACAGAATTTTCATTAAAAAATGTCTAAGATGCAATTACTTATACACTTTATTGAACTTCTTATACTAATAGGATTATTTGAGATTGAAAGGGCCCCCTTTGCAACCAAAACAGCTGAAATTTTACAAATAGTTATAAATAATTTGTACCCACTGAAACAAGATTTCTGAACAATAGAGTCTTTAAGAGGAAACATACAAAGAAGATACTAACTTGAAGGTTTCTTCTACTGGCAATAGTAGCATTATCCTCACCACCACAACTCTACAAGTACGTATTCGTGTGCTATTAACACCAAATTTTTGTCAAAGAAGTATAATTTACGTACTACCCATGTCTCATCATTATATTATAGCGTATATTATTTAAATCACAGATCAATAAACTTTTTCTATAAAGGGACAGATAGTAAAGAATATTATGTAGTCCTTATATAACAAGAGGGAAATCAACTTTAAGAAAATTTTATTGATAAAATTAAAATATAATAATAATGAGTACAAATTTTTGCCATACAGGTCTACTAATGAGAAGAATGGATGGCTGAAATCTGAATTTCATATAATTATTCTTTTGTGCCACTAAGAATTCTTCTTATAATTTTTTCCAAAAATTGAAAAATACAAAAACCATTCTTAGCTCACACACTGTACAATACAGGCATCAGGCCAGATTTGGCCCCTGGGCCATGTTTTACCAACTTCTGAGCTAAATATTACATTCTCTTACAATGGATGTTATAGAATTCTGTTAATCTGTTTCCACTGAAGAGGTAAATTAGTTCAATCTTGATATAGAGACTGGCTCCCAGAAAGGAACTGTTTATATATGATACAAATTCCAAAATTAATCTTAGAAGACATTAAAATGTTTATTACTCAGAGTAAGTACCAGATATCATATGAAAGTCACGTGTTCAATCCCCATGTTAGCTATGAGCTGTGTTATCTCCACAGCTGGGGGTTGTCCTTATCAGAAATCATTTGGGGGGGGGGGCCAGCTCTGTGGCCGAGTGGTTAAGTTCGCGGGCTCCGCTGTGGCGGCCCAGGGTTCGGATCCTGGGCGCGGACATGGCACCACTCGTCAGGCCATGTTGAGGCGGTGTCCCACATCCCACAACTAGAAGGACCTGCAACTAAGATATACAACTATGTACGGGGGTAGGGGGGGGGGGGGTGGGAAATAAAGCAGAGGAAAAAAAAAAGGTTGGCAACAGTTGTTAGCCCAGGTGCCAATCCTAAAAAAAAAAAAGGAAGATTGGCAACAGTTGTTAGCCTAGGTGCCAATCTTTAAAAATAAAAAAAAATAAGAAGTCATTTGGGATGCATACAATCAGGAGTGGGGAGAATGCACCAAATTCATGAAAACACATCACTATTGTTGTTTAAAAAGTGAGTCAAAGTGCATGCTCATCTTTATATCCAAAAGCTATTTATGTAATGCATCATATAATTATATTTTATCAGTACTTTACTGTTGCATTCTCATTATTTTTTGCTACGGAAAGGAATTTGGGGGAGGAGGAGGAGGAGATGAAGGAAGCTTCTAGAAAGAATTACAAGATTAGTTTTAACCATTTGAGCATCCGTCCAGTTGCATTCAGATTGCATCCCACAGCCTGCAAGAGTGATCATCTACACAAGTAATTAGCTTCATCTAGTGTTGATTTTAACATGTTTTTAGCTCTTCTTTCAGGTTAGATATCAGATATAGCCTTTATTCCAATTAGAGAAAAGAAAGAACGCAGTGAGAAGTTACTCTAAGTTGTTCATAAGCTACTAGCGAGCATTCAATATTCTCAGAGTAAGGCTCAGTATACCTGACGCCAGAGAACCTCCATCACATGATCTGCAAGAGTGAAAATAAAAGCAAGACTCTTACTTGCCTTACTACTGACTCTGTTCCTTCTTTTGTAGTGAATCAGCCCTTCCCCCAACAATGTCTTCATGTTCAGAAAGAAATTACAGGTTCATAAGAGCAATTATAAAATAGAGAGATGTCTCTGTTCTCAGCGCAAGTGAAGACACCAACAACAGCCTGTGCAACTTCTCAAAGAGCAAGCCCTTCTAGGAGGATCTGTCTCTAAACTTTCATGAAAGGGACACCTCAATATAATAACAAACTCGCCTTGACCAGAACAAAGAGGAAAGACCTGGCTGGGACTGGTTTACGGCTTTTGAAATATCAGGTAGGGCTCTCGTCAGCAAAGAACGTGGTCCATTCAACAAAGTTCATCTTTAGACAGACAGGGAGCAGAGCCACCAAAGATGTGTGAGCACATGGGTCTGGTGGTTTATACATATTTATGTGCATATATACACACATGTACATATACATGAAGATGTATGTGTGTGTGTTTGCACAGAATCCATCTAATGTAAAGTTTCCCTGTTGATTAACTTGATAAGCTAACATTCAAATTATGATCCATCTAATCCCTGAGCTGTCCCTGGTGTACCGAGTCCTGTCCCCTGAAAGCTTTCCCATTGGCAGCCTTGGTCTGACTCAGTGGATACCAGATTTGCTCCTGGTGAAGCAGCTGTAAATAAAGAGAGAAGGTCTTTGTATTCACCAGAGAGACTGACCTTTAATTTTCTTTATTTGTATTCAGTTCTCCCTGACTTTAATATTGGTACTCAAGATTGATTCATGTTTTAATATAAAGTCTTGTCCAGAAGAACTATTGGAGTTATTGTAACACTTTTTAAAAATACTTATGCTGGTTGACAGTCGCTTGTCCATACACTGAATTCCAGCCTTGCTGGTAAACATATATACTTGTTCTTTCAAAAAGGATAAAACGTATGAAGCACCTTGGTAAGAAGTAGATCCTGCTTCCTTCCCCCCCCCAAAAAAAAACCTTACTAAATATTGAAGAATAAAATAAAAATTGGGAAATGAATGTTTTATATACACTACTGCAAATCATACAAAGTGATATTAACAAGAAATTACCGAATGCAACTTTTATTATCTGAAGTCATTTAACTGCATTTTTGACCCTTTAAGAACACTCAACTCTTAACACAGATGGTAACCAAGAACTCCAGCTTTAATATTTAAATTTTCCTAATAACTTAAAATTTTATAGATTCTTTAAGTTTATCAAATGTTTAGGAGAACATTAAACCACTTCCTGAACAAACCAAGGCCGAAAGAATACAGAACCAGGATTGCAATCTGACGTGTCGGGGAGAGGCCCAGCCAGAGCTAAGCACTCATGAAGATTCTGCTCTCCTCAGATCTTCTCAGAAGCTCATCTTTCCTTTCCTAAGAAGACATATGACGAAAGAAAGCTATCTAATGTTGATCTGCCTTGTATTGGTCTTCAAGAAAACAAACAATTGCAAAAAACTAGAGGCCCAATCAATCACATTAATATATTATAAACCCAAACACAGGCAGTGTGTTGGGAAAACAGGACTGCGCCTAGGCCAGACTTGAGCTCTGCTTTTCTTAAGGGCAGGATGCTTCGAGTAATGTACTTTCCATTGTAAGAGTGACCTCTAGTGCCTTCCTTTTTGCTGAACTTAGTAGTTGGAGGATGAATTCCTTACGGCTTTTCAACAAAACTTTGTGTGTGTGTGTGTCTGTGTGTGTGTGTGTGTTGTGATTGTTTGCTGCAATGTTGCTCAAATGGTACCATTACAGCATCGCAAGATTCTGACTACGTGAAAATATGCACGTTTTATTGACTCATGAGATTCTTATACACCCAGATTAAAACTGAATCTGAAACACAGTGCAGCATTTGAATGAATTCTCTTCTTTCAAAGTGATGGATACACCATGACATTAAGTGAGCTAATACTGAATGGAAACATGAAATCACATACAGTGTAGTGTAAAGGGACATTTGACGTGGACCAGTAAGGTCATTTATAATGTTTTTCCCATATCAGAGCACTTTAGTGTACTCAAGGGATGTGCCACAGTGAATGCCTTCTTACTGGCTTATTTGTCCCCCGAACCTAAACCTGATTGTAAAGCAACAGCATAAATTCCTAAACAGGCCTCATCGCCCTTTCTTGAAAAGCAAATGAGCTTTTCCTTTAAAATCTGAGAAAGAGATAAAAGTTGCATTTGCAGATCCTGTTTATCATTCATCACAGAAGGGAAAAGTCTCCTATTTCGAGATTTTAAGCCAAATATAACTTTTAAAACTTTTTCAATTTCTAATAAAAAGGGGATGAAGAGACTTCTGCCAAATTATTTTGGATGATATCTAAATTAGAAATAAGGTCTTCATAAATTTTCACTGAATCAATTAACTCAATCAGAATATTAGATCACGAATTTATAAAGTTAAACATTCAACCACTAAAGAATACTTTTGAAAAATCACCTGAATGTTTTTCCTTGAAGCAAAATGTAGGAAGCAAGCCCCCTCTTTCAGGAGCACTCAAGTCCCAATCTTTTAGCAGTGAGGGCACAATTCTTAATATCGGAGTTCACATCCACCAATTCTGTTCCTGAATTCTGCAGTCCATTTCAGTTATTATCCTGGCATCATTTTAAAGATGCAGCCAGCCACCAGTCTGCCAAATTGCAAACTTCAGAAATCTAGGCTAATGCAGCATAATGTAAAGTCTGCTTTCCTGTTAGACATAATCCCAATAAAATTCAGTAATCCTAAAAAAGGAAGAAATGAAGGCATTCGCAGGCTATTCCCTGGTTAAGATGCTAATTTAATGTTTTACTAGAACTTGGGCTTTCTCAATGAATATTCAAAGAAGAGAGGATAAGATTGTGCTCATAGACAAAAAGAAAAATGACACTTTGCATATTTTGACCAGACCAAGAGGAAAAATATGTGTAAACCCAGTTATATCTGCAAGATTTTTAAGTGATGCTTCATTTACAGCAATATGCTTTGCAGCAGTTCTAGTTACAAATAATAATCATAAAAAACAACAGAATTAAAGTTTTGCAGAGAACCCCCCTGCAAGTTTTAAATCATTTGCTGTATACTTACAGGAATTCCCAGCTACGACTCTGTTCCAATTTTGAGTAGATAACAGAAGTAACGTCTTGAGGACAGCTCCAGTGACAGACCCCATGTTCACATTTATTGGGCTCCTCCAAAAGATCTTGAGTGGCTCTCGGAGCGCTCCAGTCCTATATTCGGTCCCTCTCCCAGCTCTGTCTGGGTCTTCAGCACCTCCGAGTCTCAGTCTCTCTCTCTCCTCCCCTCCCTCTCCTCCCCTCCCTCTCCTTCCCTCCTCTCTCTCTCTCTCTCTCTCTCTCTCTGTCTCTCTCCCTCTTGCTTTCTCGCTCGCTCTCTCTCACACACACACACATAGACTCAGGCATACACTACAGTCCTGACTCCTCACTGGAAAGCTCCCAGCATCTTTTCTAACAAGCATCCACACCGCCGAGGCCACGCCCACTCCTCGCAGCAGCGGTCCTAGAAATTGGCAGCAGCATCCTTCCTCCAAATTCACAGCAGCGCTCAGAGCTCCGCCGCGAGCTGCGCTGCTGATGAAAGCTGGACCTGGAGGCGCGGCCTGCTGCTCCCGGGCCTCCTCGGGGCTCCCTCCCCTCTCCTCTGTTCTCTAATAAACCTTAACCCTTTTCTCCCCTCTGGAGAGGTGAGTGGGGGAAGAGGGGAGGCGGCGGAGCCTCCTGATTTTCTAGAGGTCCTGCCTTTGGCAGAGCCAGTCAACATACTGAGCTAATTCCTGAATATCCGGGAGCGCATCCAGGTAAAATTGCGTTATGTTTCAAAACAAAAGCATAAAATAAGACAGAAATAACTAAGCAGCATTGGTAAATTGTAGCTAAAACTGTCCTCAGGGAAAATAGTTGCTGTTGTTTCTCTCTGTTTTTATAAAACTATCCTCTTCAGCTATGGTGCCAGGATTTTATTATGGAAATCCCTCACATGGAAACAGACCTTCCTGTTTGGCAGATATTTAAAATCATCTGGTAATAGTCTGCAAGAAATTAACATTTCTTATTTTAGTGTATCAAGAGTACAAATCCACAAATTAAATGTTGTGGATAGATTTATTTTGACGAATGCACCATGCTGTGAATATGCAGTAGCATTCTACAATCAAATTCTTTAATAACAACTCCCAAAAGGCCCCAAATGAAAAACGATGCCATACTGAAGAAAGGGAAACTCAGACATACACACACACACACGTACGTACACATACTCATACCAAACCTCCCACAATATAAAGATATGATTCAGTAATCTAAAGGAGAGAGGAGTAAAGTTGAAACCAGAAGATCGACTACAAAGAAATTACTCTCCTAATGGCTGATCCATGGATACTATTTCTTGAATAGGATATTAAAATATTTAAATAATAAAGTTAATATCACATAATGATAAGTGTATCACATGGTGTCATAGAGGATAAATAGTCTCTTTAGAACAAATGTCAAGATATTTAACTGATAATGTGCTAGATTTGATAAGAATAGGAATACTGGAATTCTCAAGCGCTTCTTGGTGATTACAAATTAGAAAAAAATGTAAGCCTTTAGCGGCAGCAAACCATGGAATGACTAAAATGGGGGGGGGGAAATGACAGAAGCATCCTCCTGTATAACCATAAGAGCCAAACAAATAGTTTAGCTCTTCCCTACAAACAAAGCAGAATGGATGTTTTTGCTTTTGCTATTTTATAGATGAGAAAACAGGAACGGGGAATTTAAATGATCTGAAGAGGCCATAGAGCTATTATTTAAAGGGCTGAGGATCGGATATCATTTTCCTGACTCTGGTGTTACTGCTCTCACCCCAGGACTTACTGCCGCTCAGATCAGAGCACACCTCCTTCCTGACCTCTGTCAGTGGCAGCAGCGAAAACCTGAGGCCCTAGAAAAAACAGCAGTGGAAAAGAAAGGTCACAGCTGAGTGTTTACTCTGTATTCCTAGGCCTACGTCCCTGCTTTTCTTCTTTTCAAACATAATATATTAAGCCAAAGCAGATGTAAGTTGACAATTTCCGTTAAGTAATTATCCCTGAAGGTTAAATTTTATTGAACACATACTATATGCCATTCGTTATCTAATTAAATTGTTGAGCAACCTTTGAGGGAAATATCATTGTGCCCATTTTACAGACAAAGAGACTGAACCTCAGTGAAGTTCATCAGTATATCTAAAGCGCCACAGAGGGTGGGAGAGAAGGCTGGGCTCCACATTCTGGTCTGCAAAGCTCTAAAACCATTACTTTCAGTGACTCCACACTGAGGCACAGGGTCTCAGGTTCCCCAGAAGAGAAATGTGGTCTTCCTAGTAAAGCTTCAGACTTAACCGTTCCCATAAAAAACAAATTAGAGGATACATTTGAAAAAGATCAATACACGTATCAAAATGAAAAATAATTGAAACTTTCGTGCCAATGATAACTTCTTTAGGACAAAACGTAAATTATCAGAGCAGCCGTTAAGGATGGATTTTTCCACTCAATGAGCTATGATGAGAGAATGAGTTGGAGGCTGGCACTGAATAGAAGACCTGAGCATTTCAAGCCGCTGCAGCATGGTCCCCATCTGATGGCCACAGAGGGGAGAGAGCTGCGTGGACAAGGTGAAACATGGAGAGAGCTTGCACATTGTAAACAGAGAAGCCTAGATATGAATTCAGCTTCCTCTGTGATTCTGGTGAAGTGACTCAATTACTCTGGTCTTTGATTTCCTTTTTTTAAAAAAATAAGAGAATAATGACCAAAGAACCATTGTGATAGAATGTGTGACAACCCCTACTGAGTGCCTAGCACATAGTGGGTCCTCAGTTACCTACTGGCCTCAGGTTTCTGCCTCCTGACTTATAGAGTAGTGGTTTGAGCAAGGACTGTTGGAGTCTGGCAGCCTAGGTTCAATGTCTGCTCCAGCTGCACCGCTGACCAGCTGCACGCTCTTGGGCAAGCTGCTCCTCATCCCTGATTCTTAGTTCCCTCATCTGTGCACCAAGGCTAAGTAGAGTATCAACCTCATGGCTGAGACAACACCTGTAAAGTGAAAGCCCCAAGGAGTTACACCATCAATGTCGTTCTGGAAATCATTGTATTGCTACAGCTCACTTTGCACTGATGAGAAATCTGACAAGCAGAGGAATTTCGACTTGCTAGAGGGACATGACCCATTGGTGGCAGAAAAGGGTTGGTCACCAAGACCTACTGACTTGTGCTTCTTTTCTCCATCCCCACCAGAGTGATGCTTAATGTGAGAAAAAAATGAGTACTAATGGGAAAAATCAGAGATGCATAGAGACCTTGTTTTTGCACATTACTGTACTGCTGATTCAGAGGCCACGCATCGCTTCTCCCTGTGTATGCATTTGTGGTTATATTTTCCACTGATTAAGATAAAAACAACTGCTGGTGAGTAGGGTTTGGTATATGCATATTATGGGCCAGACCCTGCCTGAGAAAGCGTTATAAATCAAATCGAAATGTTAGAATTCCTAAATTGAGTTTCTCCATTTCTTTTTGGTACAACTTGCCAGAGAACTGTGTGTCCTACGACAGTGTTCATGAAAGGCTCCAAGACTGGAAAAGGAGCATCAGGCCATAGTGGAACAAAGTCACATCAAAAGACTAGAAAGAGATTAAGATGCGCCTCCTTTGTTTCCTTTATTCATGTAACCATTATTTTATCTGGCGCCTGAATCTCTTAACTGGCTTCCGGATTTCTTACAAAGGCAATTGGTCTGTGTATTTTTGTTAAGGCCACATCTCCCCGGGGAAGAAGGGTCTAGGCTCCCTGGTCTGCAGTTTTGCGATGTCACTACTCAAAACTGATTCATTTTAAAACTAAAATATATTTGAGGTGCTATCTTGTGATTTGTAAGAAATGTATATTTTATCATTCAGATGACCAAAATATGTATCTCGTATATATTTGGTCTTCCTCCAGGGTTCCTGGCTCACAGCTCCTAAAACCCTGGGGATTTCCAGGGATAAGAGCAATAAACGTGTGTTTCATTATGTTAATGAGGCGACCTTTGGAAAGCCCTTAGGTAGCCTAAGGATGGAGATCTGGTTGTCAGGGGAACCAACTGTGTGATTAGTGGGTTGGAACTTTCAGTGCTGTCCCCCATCCCACCTCTCAGAAAGGGAGAATGGCTGGAGATTGAGTTCAATTGCCACCGGCCAATGACTTAATCAATCATGCCTGTGTAATGAAGCCTCCATAAAAATCCCAAAGGACAGAGTCTGAGAGCTTCCGGGTTGGTGAACAAGTAGAGATTTGGGGTGAGTGGCACACCTGGAGAGGGCATGGAAGCTCTGCACCGTTCCCCCATACCTTGCCCTGTGCATCTCTTCCATCCACTGTTAGCCTTTTGTAATAAACAGTGATCTAGTGAGTAAAATGCTTCTCTGAGTTCTGTGAGCCACTGTAGCAAATTAATCGAACCCAAGGAGGGGGTCATGGGAACCTCTATAGCCAGTCGGTCAGAAGTACAAGTAACTACCTGGGCTTGCGACTGGCATCTGAAGTGGGTGGGGACGGTCTTGTGGGACTGAACCCTTAACGTGTGGAATCTGACACTATCTGCCTGAGAATTGAATTCTCAGACCCGCTGGTGTCCAAGAATACCTTGTTGGTGTGGGGAACCTCCCCCCACACACTGGAATTGTTCTCAGAACACTTGTTTATGAGGCAATAAAATTTTTGTCAAAAGTCCCTTCCCAGTTGTATTTATATCGAAAATAAACAGTGTTTCCTATGCTATAACCAGTATACATACGAAAACATTCATTGTTGTCATTGTGGGCATTGAACCTCTATCAAGTTAATATTTTATTAATGGTATTTACTTTTATTTTGTATTACATTTTCAGTAAAGCAAACTTGACATTCTGTAACATAAATGCACTTTTCGTAAGTGATTTTTATGTTGCCCTTAGTGCTATGATTTTGTTTTCTTTTTTAATTTTATTTTTTTTTAAGGAAGATTGGCCCTGAGCTAACATCTGTTGCCAATCTCCCTCTTTTCGCTTGAGGAGGATTGTCACTGAGCTAACATCTGTGCCAGTCTTCTATTTTAAGTGGGATGCTGCCACAGCATGGTTTGACAGGCACTGCTAGGTCCACGCCCAGGATCTGAATCTGCGGACCCTGGGCCTCCAAAGCGGAGCACGCAAACTTACTCACTACATCACTGGGCCGGCCGTTGTTTTCTTTTTTAATCAGTATGTTACAAACAGTGTAAGTGATGACTTTGATGATCACA